GGCATGTCTATTCTTGATATTTCTAAGTCGTTGATGTACGATTTTCACTACAATTATATCAAGCCGAAATATGGAAATAGAGCTGAATTATGTTTCACTGATACTGATAGCCTTCTATACGAAATAAAAACCGATGACTTTTACAAAGACATCTATCCTGATCTAGAAGCAAAATTCGATACTTCAGCTTATGACAATCACCCAGTTATTGATAAGAAACTTAATAAAAAGGTTATTGGACTTATGAAAGATGAAACAGAGGGAAAGGAAATTACAGAATTTGTCGGTTTGAGGGCGAAGTTATATGCCTATAGAATTGATGAAGTCACTAAGAAGAAATGTAAGGGCGTTAAAAAGTCGGTCGTAGAAGATACCATTTCCTTCGAAGACTATAAAGATTGTTTATTCACTGGTAAATCGCAGATGCGAAAGATGAACGTTCTTAGATCGGAGGGCCATCAGATCTATGCTGAGACAGTTAATAAGGTAGCTCTGTCGGCTGAGGATGACAAGAGAATCGTTATGGAAGATCGTATTCATACTAGGGCTCTTGGATTTGCTTTGTGAATAAGGTAACTAATGGTATACCATGAGTGAACGAACAGTGAAATGTGGGCGCTGCCATTGCTATAGAACCAAAGAAGATTTCATTAAGGAAGATAGARTTATGAAATGCTGCGCAAAATGCTTAGAAAGAGCTAAAAAATATCGAGATAAAAATAAGCTTAAGTTACTTGAATATTCTAGAAAATATCATGAAGAAAATAAATGCGAGCATAATATTACTAAGGGTTTTTGTCGAGATTGTGGAGGATCTCAACTATGCGTTCATAGACTTAATAAAAGACAGTGCCGAAAAGGCTGCGAAGATCCTAAAAAAGTTAGTATAAGATTTTGGATTTTTAGTTCTAGACAGTCTGACAGGAAGTATAAACGGTACGATCCTAATAGATTTATTGATAAATGTTTCTTAAAAGGGTTAATTGAAGATTCCAACGACGAGTGCCACTATTGCTTAAAAAAAATACAATATGTTGAAAACAGCGATGATTTAGCCACTATCGAAAGACTAGATAATAAAAAGGGTCATCTAAAAAGTAACTGCGTAATTGCTTGCCGTTCGTGTAACCTTAGGCATAAAGATTAATTCATTCCCAGCCTACGATTTAAGCTATACAAACCTGCGTTCGCCATATCTAATAAAACCGGCGTTAGAAACCAGGCTAGGCCCGTGGCAGCTACTATTTCAACACAGGCTAATTTATTTTCTAATTTTAAGATTCTATCAAGACGATTAATACCCATTTCTGCCTGATGATCTAATCTTTTTGTTAAATAATCAGCGTTATCTATAGTATCTTTAGTAGGTCCTTCTTTAAGTTTATCAAATCCCGTTTTCTTTTCAAAGCCAGTTTTTCTATCAAATCCCGATTCACGATCCATTATATATATACTATTTTTTCTATTAAATAGGCAACCACGGCATCCAAAAGCAGCCAGGCATTCTTGGTTACGTCGCATTTTCTGGAGGTAGTTGAGCATCCAAAACCACCTGTAATTCTTCTCTAACGAAATTCCGTTTCGGAGCACCTTCTGATAAATAATATAAAACCGGTTGATTCTCCGCAAAAACAGTTTTATCTATATTAAAAGTATCCAAAGACCAATTAGGATCTGTAGCTCGCTGGCTATTTCCACCCTCATATTCACCAGGCTGATATAAATACCTAACTGTTACGCTAGCCGGCAATCTTTCTTCTTTTAATCCAACGGGTCTTTTATATGTTACGTGTTTTTCATCAACATT